TGCCGTATTATGGATATCGAAAAGGAAATTTTAGGTACGATTTCATGGTGCTGAACAACAACGATTGCTCATTCGAAAATCGGTAGCGTTCAAAAAACGGAGGAAACATGTTTCGCGGGCAGAAGAGGCGATATAAGGGGAGGTGTATGCAAGGGGAATCCATGCATGTAGGAATCGATTTCCGCGAACGATGGACGAAGTGAAGCCGACATCTGCCAACACTCATCCATGAGACTGACCATCCTCTTTGGCGTGTCACATGGTGGATCCAATCGACGACCACTACGAAGGTAAGTCAGCAACTCTTGATTTGGCACCTCACTGTAGGGCAGACTGCCGAGACTGTAGATCTCCCACACCACCACACCAAAGGACCACACATCCGAGCGCAGTGTAAAGTTTGCCTCACTCTCCAACACCTCCGGCGCCGTCCATCGCGTTGATATTCGACCACAGGTGAAGTGCGAGCCATCGGCACGACTCAGACCGAAGTCACCGATCTGTGGAAGGAGGAGAGGCGATTGATCACTGTCTCATTCAATGGTGTGCCATTGGTCGACGCTCAAATGACTCGCACTTGCATCCACTACTCACCTCTTTGCTCACACCAAGTGAGCGGTCATCGTCTCCACCCCCTCCCAAATAAAACAGGCAAGGAGCACATTCGAGCCGAACGGCAATCAATCAGTGGATGGTGAGGCAGGGTGAGTGGTTGGAGGTGGAGATGGGAGGCGTGGGTGCAATGCGTATGGAAGAAGGTGTGAAGTGAGGGAGGGAGAGAGGAGGGCGTTGGAAGGAGGTGGGAGTGAGGTTGGGAGTGGGAGTGTAAAGGTGGAAGGTAGGTCAATGTGAGAGATGTGTGCAATGGTGGTGGTGGTGATGGTGATGGTGGTGTGTTTACGAATGAGGCCTCCAATGTGGACACTTAGAGATTGCAATTTGTGAGCTGTGAGAAGGTGGGTAGAGCGTACCTTGATCTGACGATCGTGGGTGAGGAGAATGTTGCGAGCTGCCAGATCACGATGCTGGATGTGTTTGGCCTCCAGAGCACACATGCCACTGGCGATTTGTGCTACAAACCGGCGCATTTCCACATGTGGCACACGTTTTCTCGCCTCCTCCTCCTCCTCCTTCTCCTCCTCCTCTTTTTCCCCTTTCTCCGTCTCCTCCTGCTTCTCCTTCGCCTCCGCCTTCCTCTCCTCCCCTATCTTCTTCCCCTTCTCCTTCTCCTTCTCCTTCTTCTTCGTCCCCTCCTCGTTATTGCCCAGTCTGATTGACTGCAGGTACTCCGACAGGTTGCCACCAG